CCCCCCCCCTTCCCCCCCCCCCCCCCCCCCTAACCACAGATTTCCACTTCTCCCTCTGCACACTGAGGGGCTGGGGCCTGGGGGCAGCTGGGAGCTCCCTCCGGCAGGGCTCGGGGGGCAGGGAGCTGCGGGTTGGGAATGAAGTGCACCCCTACTTCGCTGCCTCTTCCTCTGCTGCCCCCCCCCTCACAAGGTGGGGCCCTGCCCTGGGGTGCCATCACGCCCCTGCCCCCCACCTCACAGTGCCCTGGGCAGCTGCCTTTGCTACCCTCTCCTAAGTCTAGCTCGGCCTGCAAATCATGCCAGCAGGGCTGGCGGTGGCAGGGCAGGGGATTGCGGGTCATGCTGGAGGGGCTGTAGCTTGGGAGTGAGAGGTATTAGCATACTAGGGCTGCTCAGTGCCATATAGCAGCAGGGGAACAGTCACAGCCAGACCCATGTCCTGGTGAGTGAAGGGGGCAGGGGGAGCTCTGATCTTCCATAATAAAAAAAACAAAATCAAATGCCAAAATATAAAGATATTTAGAATTATTTTTATTAAAATGCTTGAGTTATGGGCAGGCTTCCAAATTGCTTTAAACTTGTAACTATATCAATAAAACATTGTATTCAATTGATACATACACATACACACACACACACTTATATAGGTGTTTCATTTAATCATCAAAAACATGGATTTGGGGGGTTTTAAATGAAAGAATTTGGGATTTTTTTATCAGAGAAAACCAGGATCTGAGTCATCACTAAGGCAGTCATGAAACTGCTTGTAACTAAAGCCAGCATTTAGCATTTCTTCTGTTCTTCTGTTTGGCCACCATTCTGCTATGCTTCACTCAAGAGTTTTGCAAGTGCTGGTTGCTCCTTCTGCAGAAGGACAGCCAAGAAAGTAGAGTAATTATTCCATGATGAAGTCATTTTTATTCTGGAATAGTGTCCACACAGAGAAGTTACATCAGAACAGCTGAAACAGGATAATAATTCCAATATATCTATACCCATTAATTTCCCCTCTAGTTACGCTAGTTAATTATGCAGGACAGACTTCGTAAGAAACAGCTTGGGTGAACTCTGGAAACACCCAAGCAGCTGCATAATTAGAAATACCACAGAACAAAGCGATCTTCATCAACATATTAGCATTTCCATCCAAGCCTGTTCAACCCTTCTTTGTCAGGAGTGCTCCACTCAGAATGCTGCTTGGAGAACTGTGCGGAGCAGCTTTGGGATGAATGGCTAGAGAAGTTAAAGGGGTAGACAGATAAGTAACACAGCTTAGTTCTTCTAATATGAGCTCACAAAGGGGAAGTTTACTACACTGGGGGTCAACCTTTTTGGCACGCATATCACAAATTAGCCCTGCACCCTCACCACATACCCCGCCAATTCTCTTCCCATGCTTGATCTGCTGCTCTGCTTTCTACTCCCAGCCGTGTTCCCTGCATCATCTTCTGCAGTACTGTAGCAAGGTGGGGGGAAGGAGGCGGTGAGTGGGGTAACTGGCCTGGGCGCTGAAATGAAGGGGCACCAACAGGTACTGCCCAGCTGGGGCAGGGCGCAGAACAGAGCCATGAGCAGCTTGTTTTGGGGAATGCAGGGATAGGGCGGGGGTGGCTCCTGCTGCAGTGTGCACTCCCGGACAAGCACAGGGGCCATGTGCCCCCTGGATCTGTGTGTGGGGCGAGGGCGGGCTGCCACTGAGGGCTTTGCCCCAGGTGCCAAACTTTGTTGCTATGGTACTGATCTTCTGCTCTGCTTTCTGCTTCTTGCCCTGTGCTCCCTGACCAATTTGCTGTTTTGCCTTCTGGGTTACTACATGGTCTTGTTGCATGGCAAGGGCTAATAAATATCCATTGATTCCAGAGACAGGTGTTGACTCCAGCCCTTTAGCTTTGTGTTATTACTCCCTTCATCTCTTCTGGCCTTTCACAAGCGTGTCTGTGCCTGTGGCTCTCTTCCCACCCTGCATATACCTCACTGTGTCCGAAGTTCCAAGGGACATCCATGAAGAGAGTGTGTACGGTAACCCAGCCCATGCAGCCAGCAATCACAAGCCTCCTTACACAGCTGTTGCCCCTCTACTGTCAATTCAGTGGGTCCCCACTGGCCTCCAACTCCCCTCCACCCCTCTATGCAGCGCTTGCTGCTGCCATTGACATCTGCCCCAAGTACTCCTACATTCTCATTCCTCCCCATTAGATGGGTCTCGCTTTCTTTCTGTTGGTTTCACTCACTTCACCAGCTCTCTGCCCCTTCCTCTTCCTCCTCTCTGCTCTTGTTCATGGAGAGCAAGATCTGAGGTGGATTGTTCATTTAAATGATTGAGTTCAAATCCAGGAGCCACATGTTAGGTCCTAGTCTAGACAAGACCTCTGTGAGTTTCTCCATCTTCCTCTCTGTCAGGTTCTGCCTCACTGCCTCATTTTTGAGTTTCTCTTCTTTTTGTGCTAGGCCTTTCTGTCCTTCTGGCTGCCTATACATGTGCTCTGATGCATTTTAATTAGAGCTTGATTAATCAAGTCTGCTCCATGTCCTAACACTGCATCACCACAGCGCCACGTGTATTAAGCCCTCATATGTTTAAAAATGGCCACAGGGTGCTTTAATTAAGCCTCAGATAAAGCATCCTGTGGCCATTTTTAAACATGCAAGGCCTTAATACACACGATGCTGCAAGGTTTTAACTAGAGTGGCTGCCCTGAAACTGCTCTAATTAACCTCCCCCCACCCCCAACCACCTCCAAGCACATGTACAGGCAGCCTCTATCTCTTTTCTTCTGTCCTCCAAATTGACAGGCTTCTCCCCCTTCCCATATAACACAGTAGGCTGTCGCCTACAAAACCTCATGCCTTTCTGAACCAGTTACCCTCTAAGATGCCACCCTGCCCTGGCTTTCCCCCATGTGGTGTACAAAAAAACAAAACATGACCTCTCCTCTCCTTTGCCCCCATTCTTTCTCATCCAGCTCAGAGGGAATCACTTGGTTCTTTCTACCTCAGTTCTTTCCCCTTTGCATACAGGTGTTAATCTCTGCTTGTTTTCCATTCCCAGACTTTTATCATTCTTGCCTCAAAGTCAAAGATAAGTTTTTATTTTAAAGAACAAAAGATTTCTTTAACAGCCCCCCTCCCCCTTTGGGACACGGATAAGGAGTGGCCTGGATCCGGGTATATTGTTGCTAATCATATAGGAGGACCAGAGGGGAACACATGTGAGCAGAAAAAGCAAACAGTGAGATTTTTAATGAGATGTGAAAACAAAGGAGTCTGAGTAGAACAAGTGCCACATGGATTTTTTTTAAAATTTTTTAATTTTTTTACAAAGGCAAGGACTAGCATAGGAGCTTGGCTGCCTCCTTCCATCATGGGCCCACATGGGTGTCTGCAGGTAGGTGTCCTGATGATTCCTTTCAGGCAGGTCAGTCAAAGATGAGCAGCTAGAAATAGGTTGCAAAACAATGTCAGGGCCTTGCTTCTGGCTACCCGTGACTCCCCCCAGGTGGGCATTATCCACAGGGGAATGATGAATTTTAGGTCAAAAAGGTGATGGAAGGCCACAGACAGGGCCTCTCTCTCTTTTTCCGGGGGTGACACCCTGGCAACCTATAATGATCTCCAAGATAAGAGCAAGGTCTGTTTGCTAACTCAGGGACCATCTAAGGAAGAATGGTAGGAAAAGCTTTTTGTTATTCTTTAAGATTTCAGTCAAATGCTGCTTGTGTGGCCAGCATGCAGTTTATGAACCTAATTTCATATGAAATTGAAAATGGATGGAGTCTGTGAAATAGGTGAATGTGATGTATCTTTACAAGTAAATCAATTTACCATAACATTTTCCCCACTGAGAAATGGTTTACCAGTATGTCGTGCACTTTCTACAGCCTCTAGCTAATGGCGAGTCTCCTCCAGCTCCAAAGGTCTGAGCTTCACCCCTTGCTAATGTGAAGCTCTGGGTGGCTTCATGCTGCAGCAGTGACAAAGGAAGTCCTAAGAGGCTAGACTGTTTACAACACAATACATTCCTAATCGTTCGTGCGTGGTGTAAAATACCACAAGACAGAGCCATGTGACTTGTCATTTTTTTTCTGTTTAAAGAGAAGCTGAAGAGCATTCTCTGTTTCAAAGGCAAAGGAGGGTTGCTGGCCTGCTCCCCAGGCATATGCAGCATGGTAAAATTCCCCACAGCTTTGTTGGTGGCATAATAATACACAAGATACTACGACCTGGCTACAGGGGAGTTCTAGCTGTGTTGTTATCCAGTAGATGTAAAGCAGGATAACTGTGTAAGCTGTATGTTGCCAAGATAAAGTTATCAGTGTCTCAGATGGCTCCCCAGCCCTGATATTGAAGAATTATAATTGAGAAGATGATTTTTTTTCCTAAGGTTTCATTCTACTCACACCTGCCTAAACTCTCCTCTCATGTAAAACAAAGGCTTTATCCACTTCCCTTTCACCTATTTTTTTTTACTGGGTCTTAACCAGGAGCACTCCTGGATTTCCACTCCCATAGTCTCCCAGTTCAGTCTGGACACCTCAGCCCCAGTCCAAAGCACTAGCAGTCCCACAATCCGGTGCTCCCCAAGCAAATCTCCCAGAGCCTCAGTCCTGCCCTGCCCTAGGCTCTCCACACAACAGATGAAGAGTTGCAACCTGAATCCTCTCCTTCTCTTGCAGCCCTCTGGCTGAAAACACAGAGTCCCTCAAAGGGGTGTTGAAAAGACTGTCGTATGCCTAAGTGGGGGTATTCACTGCATTTGAAAAGATAATGAGCGCTTGGTGAGAAGGAGGACCAGTGGCTGATGGGGAGCAGAGGGCCTCCCGGCATGTGCAGGAGGGTGTGGGAGCGGTGCATTCCCTGCTGTCTGGGGAAAAGGAAATTATTGCTCACTCTCCCAGCCTCCTCTTAGGATTTCCTACATCTGCCCATTGGCCTTCTAACTGTCTCCTTCTCTGTTCCCAATCTCTTCTCTCTTTTCCCTCTTTTTTCACTCTCTCCATTACCCTTCTGCCCCTTTCTCTCATCTCCTTCTTTCAAAAAGTATTTGACAGCCCTTGCAGTCTGTTCAGGAGCTGGTGGAAGATTCAGTCCTAGAGCCCCCTCCAGGGGCTAAATCTCCAGGACTGAATCTCCCATCCTCCAGGACTGAATCTTCCACCAGCTCGGGAACAGAGACTGCAAGGGCAGTAGAGAGCCATTTCCCCACACTCACCCCAACTAAGCCTGCTCCAAACTGGTGGGGGGCAGGGGGAGGGGACGAAAAACACTCCTATCTGCAGGGCTCATTTTAGACCTCCTTGCTTGCTTGTGTCAAGGGATCCAGTCAGAGATGACAGAGGGATGTGATGATGAAACCCAAGTCATTCTATGATGCGGATGGACCTACTTGTCCCACTGGGAACCAAAGGGAGCCTCCCCCATTAATTTCACACCAGGGCTGCTAAAATAACCTCATGCCGGACTTGGATGACTTACTGTCTGCATGGTCCAGTGGAAAGGTCACCAAAGTGGGTGTTTCTACACTTCCTTCAAGCTATGTTACTGCAGCTCAGGGAGACAACTTGATCTTACTTCACATTAAGTATCTTGGGTAATGCTAATAGGGAAACCACAGCAACACACAACTCAGCACAAGGTACAACTCTTCTACAGATGGCTGTGTAAATACTTAGGCAATTAGCTCCCCTAAACTCTGCCATGCTGCAGCCATACTCTGAACAATACCTGAGCTGGGTAGCTTAAAATTAGCTTAGGTGAGCTGCAGTTGCAGGCTTGAGGGCAGTGCAGACATGCCCTGGGAGTCAGGAGATTTGGCTTATCTTCTGCACTGGCACACAAGCTGGCTACTGCTCTCAGGCCAGCGCCTCCACTGCTGATCCTTGACCTGATCCTGATTTTTCCTGATTCTGGTTTTTTGGCTGCCATGTCTATTCAGCTTGGGCTGCAGCAGCTTCCTTCCCAGATCTGAGGAAGGGCATTTTGTGCCCAAATGCTTGTCAGTTATCTCTCCCTACTATACAGTTGGCCTAATAAAAGATATCACTGGACATCTTGTGCTTCAGAGCTACTCAGAGCAAGAGATCTTTGGAGCAGGCATTTTCACTTCTGGTGTGCGTGCACAGCAGCCTAGTGCAATGAGACACAGGTCTTGGCAGGGTATTTCAGGTGTAACCAGGGGGTGGACAGTACCACTGAGGAAGAAGGGGTTAGAGAAGACTCAGAGCCTGATTCTGCACTGTTTGCACCCTGCAGTCATTTATACTTGTGCAAAGCAGGTACAATCTAAAGGGTAAAGGTGTCTGCCACATTTCATGCTCACTCTGCAGGGCTTTAAATGATGAGGCAAGGTGTGAGGCAAGGGAGAACTGGCCCTTAGGTTCTAAACTGCTCCTTGTACTTCAGATAGAACAGGACGAGCTACACACCTTCTTGTCTGCATCAGAGAGGTAAATTTTTCTCTCTACCCCTCTTATTGGATGTATCAATTTCCATCCCCCACCATCAAAATTCACCACTTCCAAATTCTCCATAGTTTTATCACAAGGTCCTTGTGACATACCCAAGCAGCTGCTGTCCTCAGAAAACCTGACTGAAGGGCTAGAGAGGAAATAGAAGTCTCTGGGAAGGGAATCACAATGTTTATTTGTTAGATCATCTTTGGTTTTTCAACTCATGCACGATTTCTGCTTTTCTAAGGCTATGTATGACACTTCAGCACTCATTCAGAAATCATGTGAGCAGTCAGTATTAGCCCAAGACCCACAACAGCATCTATATACCTATGGGTGAATTGCAACAATCAGACTCCAGTTCAAACGAAAAATAAATAAATCTATAGGTCTTATGTCAATATTGACAGAGACAGATAGCACAGGTTGCATCACGCATGGTTGCAAAAGAAACATGACCAATGCATAGTTAAAAAACAAACAAACCCTTGATAATATTTTCTGTGAAGAGCCCAGATGATACACTGAAGAGACACTTGTGCCTCCAGAGCTATTAAATGAATATCACTGCCAAGGCAGCCTTAGCTCTGCTCCCTTGTGTACATATATTATGGTACTGAGCGTGCCCACAGTGCAAGGAAGTGTACAGGTAACTTGAACCTGCTCACATCCCAGAAGCAGCCTACCTGTAAGATCCATGCTCCTTGGTGGAAGTGGTGAAAGTTTTATTGATCATTCCATTTAAACCTAGGCTTACACCAAAAAGTGGAGAATGCATTGCTGAGGACAACCCAGTATTGGTCTTAGCACTGGGCAAAAAGTATATCATAATAAAAAGGACAGGAAGGGACTTTACCTATTTCCATTCTGTTGCAGCCCCTCTACCTTTTCCTTCCTCTTTTCCCCCCTTTATTCATCTGCTTCCAATATTGCTACTCCCTCCCTTCCTTAGGCTACCCTCTACCTCAGATTACTCATTCCTCCAAAGAGCTTCTTCCTGTCTCTGGGCTAACATAATGTTAGAGTTGCTGAGAGTATGTCCGTGCAGCAAGTGAGAGTGATTATAATGTGGACAAGCATGCTCGCCCCAGCTTTAACATACCTAACACGCGTAGCTTTAGCTTTGTGGCACCAACTTCTGCACCAACCCCTCAGGGACCCTAGTTGAGACTGTGTGCTGAAATCCATGCCAACGTGTCTGCTCCATTAATGATCCATGAGCCTGCACCACAATCGCACTTCATTTTGCTGTATCGACCTAACCTCAATCAAGCCAGCATAAAGGAAGCAGGACAGAAGTAAAATGGCTCGCTGGTGAAAATCCTGCTTCATTCAAATAGGTTTGTACTGCCATCTGGTGGTGTGTTGAAAAATAGCTGGAACACACAAGATTTTTTTCTTTTTTATTTACTTGCATTCCGTTAGAAATGCTCCATTCTTTCTCATTTCCCCCAGGGACCGTTACCCTGTATATAAGGTCTTTTTTACATGTGATTCTTCCACTGGAGTCTATTATCCGTATTTTATTAGCCACCTCCACTGGCATCTCTCCTCCACAATCCTACTATGCATGCGGCTTGCAACATATAGCAGCAACTAACATTCCTACTTGATCCCAGACAATTGTGATTTGTCTGTTCCCTAAATTACAAGTGTTGAGCTTAATCCTGAGAGATGCTGAGTACTTGCAACTCCCATCCTCCTCAGCGTGAGCTGCTGAGGATCAGTCTCTCTCAAGAACAGGACAATTATTGGTCATAAAATTGCCAATCTCTTTTTCCTATTCCGGAGGCTTTTTGTAGGACTGCTCCATTGCTTCAGTACACCAGAATTTCCAAGATGTATTGGACTAGTAATCCCTCTAGGCTGTGGGAAGTGTCAGATGTTCTTAAGAAAATTATAACAGCCTCACAGTAGCCTGAGTCCCCCATAGATTTCATTTTACTAATAGAGGCTGACTTGGGTCCTGAAACATAAGATATGATATTCTTCCAAAAAATGTTGCCATTAATTATAACTCCGCAGTCTTGGTAGCCATATAAAATGTCCCCCCCTTTCTGAATCTTGTTATGTGCTTGGTCACTTCTGTGGCATTTCAAAAAAGGGAGGAAGAAGGACACAGGAAACTATAGGCCCGTTAGTCTTACCTCGGTCCTGGGGAAGCTCTTTGAGAAAATTATCCAGGAGCACATCTGCAAGGGACCAGCAGGGGAGATTAGGCTTAGGGGCAACCAATATGGGTTCATTAGAGGCAGGTCCTGTCAGACCAACCTGGTGGCCTTCTACGACCAGGTCACAAAAGCCTTGGATGCAGGTGTCGCGGTGGATGTAGTCTTTCTGGACTTTAGGAAGGCCTTCGACACTGTCTCTCACCCCATTCTCATTAAGAAATTAGGCGACTGGTGTCGATGCCTACACGGTCAGATAGGTCACTAATTGGCTGGAGGGCCACACCCAGAGTGGTGGTGAATGTGTCATTTTCGGCCTGGTGGGATGTGGGCAGTGGGGTCCCCCAGGGCTCGGTCCTTGGGCCCACACTGTTCAACATCTTCATCAGCAACTTGGACGAGGGGGTGAAAAGCACCTTATTCAAATTCGCGGATGACACTAAGATGTGGGGAGAAGTGGGCACACTAGAGGAGAGGGGCAGGCTGCAATCAGATCTGGACAGGTTATAGAGGTGGGTGGATGAGAACAGGATGGGTTTCAGCACTGACAAGTGCAAGGTATTGCACTGGGGGAGGAAGAACCAGCAGCATACCTACAGGCTGGGGAACTCCCTTCTCGTCAGCACAGAGGCAGAAAAGGATCTTGGAATCATTATTGACTCCGAGATGAACATGGGCCGACAATGTGGGGACACGGTCAGGACGGCTAACTGCACCTTGTCATGCATCCACAGATGCATCAAGAGCAGGTCCAAGGAGATGATCCTCCCCCTCTATACAACATTGGTCAGGCCGCAGTTGGAGTACTGCGTCTAGTTCTGGGTGCTGCACTTCAGGAGGGATGTGGACAGCATTGACAGGGTCCAAAGGAGGGCCACTCACATGGTCAGGGGGCAAGAGGGCAGGCCCTACGAGGAGAGACTATGGGACCTGAACCTGTTCAGCCTTCACAAGAGAAGGCTGAGAGGGGATCTGGTGGCCATCTATAAACTGACCAAGGGGGACCAGCAGGCACTGGGAGAGTCCCTGTTCCCCTGAGCACTATAGGGAATAACAAGGAATAACGCCATAAGTTGATGGAGAGTAGATTCAGGCTAGATATAAGGAGGCACTACTTTACAGTCAGGGTGGCTAGGATCTGGAACCAACTTCCAAGGGAAATGGTGCTAGCTCCTACCTTGGAGGTCTTCAAAAGGAGGCTGGATAGACACCTAGCTGGGGTCATTTGACCCTAATACTCTTTCCGGCCCATGGCACGGGGTTGGACTTGATCTACTCAGGTTCCTTCCGACCCTACCAACTATGAAAAAGTGTCCCATTTCAATCACACACCAAATGAAAAGGCAATTCCTTTCTTTCATTTTTAACTGTTGATGTTAAACATCTTCATATTGTTCAACATCTTCATTAATGATGTAGATATTGGAGTCAGAAGCGGACTGGCCAAGTTCACTGATGACACCAAACTTTGGGGCAAAACATCCACACCTGAAGACAGGAGGGCGATCCAGGCTGACCTGGACAGGCTCAGCAAATGGGCAGACAAAAACCTGATGGTGTTTAACACTGAAAAATGCAAGGTTCTCCACTTTGGGAGGAAAAACCTGCAGCATCCTTATAGACTCGGCAGTGCTACGCTGGCTAGCACTACAGAAGAAAGAGACTTGGGGGTCATCATTGACCACAAGATGAACATGAGCCTGCAATGTGATGCTGCGGCTAGTAAAGCAACCAAAATGCTGGCTTGCATCCATAGATGCTTCTCAAGCAGATCCTGGGATGTCATTCTCCCTTTGTACTCGGCCTTGGTGAGGCCGCAGCTGGAGTACTGCGTCCAGTTTTGGGTTCCACAATTCAAAAAGGATGTGGAGAAGCTTGAGAGAGTCCAGAGAAGAGCCACGCGCATGATCAGAGGTAAGGAAAACAGACCTTACAACGACAGGCTGAGAGCCATTGGGCTCTTTAGCTTGGAAAAGTGCAGGCTCAGGGGTGATCTGTTGGCCACCTATAAGTTTATTAGGGGTGACTGCCAGTATCTGGGGGAACGTTTGTTCACCAGAGTGCCCCAAGGGAAGACGAGGTCGAACGGTTACAAACTACTGCAAGACCAATTCAGGCTGGACATAAGGTTTCTTTATTGTCTGAGCCCCCAAGGTCTGGAACAGCCTGCATTCAGAGGTGGTTCAAGCGCCTACATTGAACACCTTCAAGAGTAAATTGGATGCTCATCTTGCTGGGATCCTATGACCCCAGCTGACTTCCTGCCCTTTGGGCAGGGGGCTGGACTTGATGATCTTCCGAGGTCCCTTCCAGCCCTAATGTCTATGAAATCTATGAAATCTATGAACTCAAGTCCACCCTTTTCATTTTCTTGAATGTCCTCATTATTCTTGTAATGGACAGAGTACAGAAAATTCAGATCTACCTTTTGATGACAACTTTACATGTGTTATATATATTCCAATATAATAATGGGCTTATTCCATCTGTCTGTCTGTCCATAGCGCTCTTGAAGCACTCTGATTGGTTAGTGAAACAGCCAATCAGAGTGCTCCAAAAGCATCCTGGACAGGTGGCGGTGTGGCAGAGTGCCGCCATGATGGCAGGGATGGAGGAGATGGTGGGGCAAGCTCCTCCACCCCGATCCTGGGAAGTGGCGGTGGCACTCCATCCCCGCCCGCCCCCTCCCCCCACATCATTCCTGAGTGTGTGTGTGTGTGTGTGTGAAATATATATAGGGGGATGAAGGAAAAGGGGTGGGGGTTAAGGTGGGAACAGCCCGCCATAACAACAAGCAGAAAAGCCCTGAGAACAGGGCAAACTTACCCCTCATAGGAGCAGCCGAGCCAACCAAGCCGTGGAGGGAAGGAACACTCATGCAGTTCATCAGCTACTTTTATCTATGGCTGGGACTGGCGCGGCAAGATGACATAATTGAAGAATGCCGCCCAGCAAAGATAAAAGCCAGCAGCAGGGAAGCAGCTGGGCGAATGTAGCAGAGAGCAAGCTACGGGGCCATTGCCCGAAACAGGAGAGGGCCTTCTGGCAAAGGGGAGGAGAAGCCGAGGAGGGACCCAACAGAGGGGCCGACATTTAATTAAAGAAGACACTGCCCTGGACAAGGGAGCTGGGCCAGGGGAAAGGCGTTGAAGGATGGCAAGATCGTTGAGCATAGGATGCGTGAGTGAGGGCGGGCTGAGGCCCCTCCCTGGAATTTCAATTCAGGGCAAAGTGGGCTGGGACTGCTGTGGGGATCCTGGCACCCCAAGGGACCCCACAAATCACCAGGGTTGTCTCACCACCCTGAATACACTCAAGCATAGTCGAAAACAGGGGCCAGAGCAGTGAAGAGGGGATGGGAGGCGATGCTGTAGGAGATCAGGCTGACCATCGATTGGCTGTCCCAAGAGGCTGGCATATGGCTGGGGTGTATGCGAGGTGGAGCCCCAAGAATATCCACTGGTGACAACACCTGACACATGCACCGCTACAAGAGGGAGTTCCACTACTGAACGAAAGATCCAAAACATGGCAGGCAAGTACTGGGGCATCCCTCGCGGAGAGAACAACCCAACATCGTGGCTGCAAGAGCAGCCTCCGCAGCAACACTCAGGCGCTCATTCCAGGACCGCCAGAGAGAGAGACTCCACAAGGCCAGGTGGGTACATATATATATTATATAGCCTTTTACTGTCTCCTTTTATTCGTCTCCTTCCTAAGATATCAGTCCCAGTCTTGTCAATCTCTCTTCACACAAGAGTTTGTCTAGGCCCTCGATGATTCTCAGTGCTCTTCTCCAAACTCTGTCCAAGTCTACAATGTCCTTTAAGGGCACTTGTACACAAAGACATGATGACCAGTACTTGCACAAAGTATCCAGATTATGCTGCATCACTGACTTACATGTCATTCTAGTACTTTTAGATTACTCTGCACATCATTCCTTATGCACTCTAACATCCCATTCTCATAAATAAATTAAGAGGCTGTGACTTGGATAATTACACAGTCCAGGGGGTGGCAAATTGGCTTGGGGGTTGCACCCAGAGAGTGATGGTGGACAGGTTGATATCGACCCGGAAGGATGTGGGCAGTGGGGTTCCTCAGGGCTCGGTCCTTGGACCAGTGTTCTTCAACGTCTTCATCAGTGACTTGGATGTGGGCGTGAAGTGTACTCTGCCCGAGTTTGCAGATGATACTAAATTGTG